GCCGTGTGGTTTATTTTGCAAACAGTATAGATTACAATCTATGAGTGCACCTTATTCAGGCTGCTTCCTTTATATGAACATAGGCATAGGCATAGTACTCCACACTGTAAATATATGACCTGAAACATGGAGGAATAAATAGATGCAAGTAATGAGGTTCACCCAAATGGACAAAGTTTTAACTGGAATCTACTTTATTCAGAATCAGAATAGTTTCAGGACTCATGGGCCAAAAAGAAACCATCAGTAGGTACAAGAATGAAAGGCATGCAAAGCAAATTCGCTACTTTACATGGCAGATAATTACTCTAGAGGCAGATAAGTGCAAGCAGATCTAACTCTACAAATGAAACATTAGCCCATCCTCCAGAAACATTTACCTAGAACCTGATTGACCCACAAAAGATTGTTTAATAAAGCATGTCATTTGAGCAGATACTTATCAGGCAACAACATTCAGTAGCAACAAACCTAGTGATTATTGTACTAATTTCCTTGGCCTGAGCCGATAGTTACAATAACATTGTCATCATGTGTCCAATATAAATATACATAAGGATGAGATCACCACATTCTTCTGTTCATTTATTTTTCACTAGTCCTTGACCTCAGTGGCCTCACCACCTTCTTCCTCACCTGCATGTACGAATGAATCAGACCACAGGAAAGATGTCACAATGAGAGTAAATACAGTTGCTGCCTACCTGAAGTCATAAAGAAACATGTCACCAGTTCAAATCCACTGGATCATATATACATCTCCACATCATAACACTTGCCATAATTGTATCTGGCATTAATATCAATGTATCTGTTTTTGTTTCATTGTGTAAAATTAACAATCGGAGCTAGCACCATCTGCCGCCCACATTGAGTGCGCTAAGAGGATGCGGCCCTTCCACCCTTGCAACAACCATTGCTGACCCTCCTCAATGACAAAATCCTTGTGGTACTGGTTCTTGACCATGTCCCCCACCATCTTAACAGTCTCTCCATTCAAGGGCAGTTGCCTTAGGCCAGCCCGTTGGTTTCTGACCTGCCACTGCTTATACGTCTCACCACGTTCCACACGGTCCTCTCCCTCACATGCTATGGCATTCAAGGCAACCCAGCCAAAGATATCCCGCTCAAGCACCAAGCGCAGTTGGCTCTCCCTGGGCATGGTTGCATCAAGCATGTCAAACAGTGCAGAGTGGTAAAAGAGGGCTTCCCGAAACCGTGACAAGAAGGTGGTGCCGTAAGAACCATTGACGACGGCTTGGATAAACACATCAGGTTTCATCTTGCTGATGTTGCTGAGGACAACATCCCTAGGGCTGGGGCTGTCTGATATGACGCCCTCATCCATCAAGGTCCTGAAATTGAACAGATCGTTGATGACAAGGACCTCGTCAGGTTCCACATTCAGATCATCGATGCAAACGGTGTGCCACTGCGCCAGTACAGCACGGAAACTCAGTGGCACACAGAGCTTGCGGGCACAGTTGGTAAGGCGATGACCCATCTCTGCCATGTGGTTCGCTGGGCGGAATCCAGGCTGTAGGAGGTCAATGCTGGTGATCCTGACCTGCGGCGGCCCACCGTCCCTAGTCCCCAACAAGCGCAGCAGCTCCGGCCACTGGAATCCGGAATGGAGGCCATAATCCACGATGTGCAGCTTGCTCCTTCCAACTGCGGCGTCAAAGATGGTCTTGTTGGCAAACATGAAGGCCACCTTCTTGAAGCAGCAGGTTGACATGAAGAGCTGATAGGCCTTGAGGAACTCCAAGAGCGAAGTCCGGTTCATGGCGAGCGACCTGTACACCTGGCTCCCAGTGCCAGCCAGACGCGATTCCAGCCCCTGCGCGAAACAGTAGGCAAGCCGCTGCATGGCGTCCCCGGTAGGCGAGGCGTGCTCCTTGATCTGACTGATCAGCTCGTCTGCGCTCCGGCGGTCATCCATGACCGCCTTGGCGCAGTGGATGAGCAAGGTGTGAAGGTCAACCACCCTGGCCGCCCGACGCTTGCCCCGTGCCCTGCTCCTCTTCCTCGCCTTCTTCTTGTCATCGTCCTTGGCAGGCACATTCTCAACGGAAATGGCCAGGTCCTCCATCTCCTTGGAACAGGCATCGAATCCCCTGAGCATCATTTCGTCGAACACCTCGCGTGCGCCGGCTTCCTCCGACTCGGCCATCGCCCGCTTGCTGGTCCTGCCGGCATCGGCCTCCAGCTCCTCGTTGCCGCCGACGTTGTGCCTGACCCTGCGGTCCTTGCCGCCACCGCTTGTGTCCTTGCTCAGCAGCGTGGCAGCGGTGTAGGCGGGCAGGAACTTGCTGGCCTCCTCCACGCCCCTGAAGAATGCAGCGGTGAACATGTCCGTTCAGTACTCCTTGTCTTGGGCGAGCCGCCTGGAAAGACGGGGCCTTGGTCCGGCAAGAAGGGGCCCCGGAGAGGATCTGGGCGAAGGGCTTCGGGCGTGGAGGAGCGCTGGGTGGTGTGAGGTCGTCCTCCTCCTCTTCCTCCTCCATGAGAAGAGAAATGCGGGAGAGGTAGGAGGAGGAGGAGGAGGAGGCAACGTCGGCGTCTACTCGGGACGCCGACGTGAAGCCTGGGAAGACACGGGTGCCATGCGCTGCCTACTACAACTGCACTGCAATTCAGTAGCCAATTATGGTGTCTTGTTGCGTGAAGCACAGGAAGACACGGGTGTGTCATGCGCATGCTGTTGCCCCCTACAAGCTACCTGCAATGGCGGGCGGTATGGCTCATGGATTCTTCTTGTTTAAAAAGAAGCGAAAGGGGGGTGGTGGTGGGTGGAATTGGATGGAATGATTGAGCGATTGACCTCATCACCTCCTCATGGAGCTCGAATCGATGATTAAGTAGCCAATTATGGTGTCTTGTTGCGGTTATGTAGGCTACTGGTCTTCTTGTTTCATTTCTGTTGGTTTCGAGCGAAACTTTGTTGTTCGTTTTCGTAATGCAGAACACATCTTCACAAGGCCATCATCTTCTTGTTCCCTTTTGTCTGTCCCCTTTGATCTGTTTCGTAACAAGGTATTGTTTCTGAAATTGTATATTGATGATAAATGCATGATCGCGTGAGCGTGATGCAGACAGTTCAGGAGGTAACTTCACAAGATGTTCATGCTAAAATCAGGAGATTATTTTCCAAATCTTTTTGAAGGAAAAAGCTAAGCAACAATTAATTTCACCAGTATAACAAAAAAAATTTGTGCAGAGAGCATCAGCCATGTGACAAGATGATTTGTTTATTAGTTTCCTTTCGATTTAATCGCCACGCTGAGATAGGTTGACGTGATATCGTCTAACCGAGATCAACTTGGCACAACGAGTTAAGCTAAGTTAAGCTATACCTGTCTGTGTTAAATTATATTGTTAGATCATTTACTGTGATCGACGGTAACCACAAGGGTTATCTAGAGTTGGTCTTGGCGTCACAAAAGTGTATATAAATAAGACCAAAGATGATTACGAGATTAATTAGGCTTATTCCCTCGACACCTAAACCAATCTAACCGGTTTATTGGACGTTGCAAGGGGTTGGTAGCTCGGTTCCAAATTCCAGGACGCTGCACATCTACATCTACATCTACATCTACATCAAGAGAAAGTCCTAACTCTAAAATCGGTGAAGATTAGCACATCTACTTCATCTACATCGACCCTACTACGTCTGTAGAGGCATAGGTGACACCTACATGCTCTGGTCAGTACGTAATTAGCTAATTCCACATCAATTTGAGTTAGTGATCAAGTTTAGACTAAGATACAGTCCTTTTATGTCTAAGTTTAATTCAAAAGGATGTCCAAGTGTCATTACAAAAGAATCGTATCATTAGTTTAATTCTAGTAATGACACCATACCTGCTGCGAGAACACACCATACCTGCCGCGAGAACACACAGGAAACCACGATACGATCGATTGTTTCCGTTTCGTGGTCGCAAAGGAAGCAAATTAAAGGTCATTTGTGTCGAGGCCGTACCGTTGTCTTCTATCAACTGTCCAGTGCCTCCGTCGTATCGCCAACCATAGGAACAGCTTCAGCCGTACCGATAGGCCACCTGTGATCTGGCGTATCCAGCTTCGATTGTGCAGCGCTTGTGCAACCGTTTGGCTTAAATCTTTGGAGTTTTGTTTCTTCTTATGTTCCTCTCCCATCTCATCTTGGTGTGTTGCCGGTGCCAAGAGGCCCAACTTCTTCCTTGACACGTATCATCACATAATCGGAGGAAACATTTCTTAAGTTACACGGTCATGAACTTTGGGACCATCGCAAACTTTAGTTGCCAGTACACTGTGCACATAACTTTGAGAATTCATCATCGTATCATGAGCAAGTCTAAAGTTGTTGAAATTTTCCAGGAGATCTTCCATCTTCAAGTTTTTTTTTTTACAGAACAACGGGGGGAGAGGATTTTCCCCACCTGAAACTTTTATTAAAGGGGAAGTCCAGAACGGACAGTAACAACAATTGAGATCTACAAGAGCTTAAGGCCCCATTTGGCACGGGTCCAGATTCTCGTAGAAACGTTTCACATCCAGATTCTCTCAAAAAACGTTTGTGGTCCTTAATCGAAATCACCTTGTGAAGCTGTTTGGCTGGTAAGCTAGATTCTGATTAAAAAATATATATTTTTATTTATAAAAAATCATATAAATACAAATATTCTACAAAAAAAATTAGAACTTTTTGTGGGTGAAGAACAACTTAAATAGTACAACCTATTTTAGTTTATTTCACTTAAAAAGAACTAACTAAAAAAATATTGTTGCTAATACAGAAAGGGGGCAAGAATCAGAATCACACGAAACCAGCAAATAGGTGTTTCTCCTTGCTAGGCACAAAAACGAGAAACATCTCTAGCGATTCTCGAGTGAAATGTTTGTCCTTTAACCCGTTTGGCTGTGATTGTACTGATTCTCGCAAGAATCCGAAATGTTTCGAGTTGCCAAACGGGGCCTAAGAACCCCATCTTCAAGTTGTGAAAAATAATTTAATTGCACCCTCGTACCTGAATGCAAGAATTAACTAAATGAAACTTTTGATACAGTTAAAAACCGAATTGGAAGAGGGAATGTTGCCCTCTTTCACTCGGGACAAGCTGGAGACATCTTAATCACGCATAAGTTTCACTGCTGGATTCGGGTTCTTTGCCGAGTGCCTGATGCACTCGGCAAAGCCTTTGCCGAGTGCGGCACTCGGCAAAGAACACTCGGCAAAAAATTGGTCGGCAAAGGACACTCGGCAAAGAAAAGCGACCGTCACGGCGCCGGCCCCGTTGACGGTGGCTTTGCCAAGTGCCAACCCTGCAGGGACTCGGCAAAGATTTTTTATTTTTTTAAAAAAAAATTCTTTGCCGAGTGCTCATTGACCGGCGCTCGGCAAAGAGGTTTTATTTTTTTTAAAAAAAACCCCACACTCCGCAAAGATGGTGACGCGCTTGGCGTGGATGGCGCAGAGGTTGGTGTCCTCGAAGAGCCCGACGAGGTAGGCCTCGGCGGCCTCCTGCAGCGCGGCGACGGCGGAGGACTCGAAGCGGAGGTCGGTCTTGAAGTCCTGCGCGATCTCGCGGACCAGGCGCTGGAACGGGAGCTTGCGTATGAGCAGCTCCGTGCTCTTCTGGTACATGCGGATCTCGCGCAGCGCCACGGTGCCTAGGCGGAAGCGGTATGGCTTCTTCACGCCGCCTGTCGCCGGGGCCGACTTCCGCGCCGCCTTGGTCGCCAGCTGCTTCCTCGGCGCCTTGCCGCCGGTGGACTTGCGCGCCGTCTGCTTCGTGCGGGCCATCGCGGGGGATTGGGCTGGGGAGAAGGGAGAGTTGTTGCTCGGGTATTTGAAATGGAGATGGGGCTCTGGATTTGCTGCGGTGGGAGAATGGGGCGAGAAGAGATTGTATTTTGCTACGGTGGGGGAACTGCACGGACACCGAGGAGGGAGGCGGGGCGTGGAAAATTTTGGGGCAGGGTGGGGATCAGGCTGGACAGGCGCCGTCGGATCGCGTGGGAATGGAGGGTTCCGATTGATTTGGCAGGCTCTCACGCGGATCGCGATCCGTGGGTGGTGAATGGTAGCGAATGGCAGACCACCATCTGGCAGCTCCGCTTCGGATTGGTTTTGCTGGTTGTTCACGGCTGCATGCGGCCACACAGCGGGAACCTGAGTACACGTGCCTACAGCTTTTTTTTGTTTTTTGAGGGGAGAGTACACGTGCTTACAGTATGCCGCGCTACCACTCTACCACTGGACCTAAACTGGAATCACAGATTAACAGTAATTTCGTGACACTCCAAATTGAGATAGAAAATCTTCGCCGAGTGTCCCGATCTGGCACTCGGCAAAGTATATTTTAATTTTTTTGTTAAATTAAGAGTAAATTGCTTGTTTGAGGCCTTAAACGAATTTAAATCAAAAAGTGGTCAACTACAAAGTTTTATAACTTTTTGAGATGTACAATTTTTATTTAGGAAGTTTTTCCATCCGAGGTCGTTTGAAAATTTTGAATTTTAAATTTGAGAGATTCAAACGTAGTTTTGCATGATAAGATGATTTCAAATCAAAAAGATGTCAACTACATAGTTTCATAACTTTTGGAGATCTACAATTTTCATTTAGGAAGTTTTTCCATCTGAGGTCTTTTGAAAAATTCAAATTTTAAAATTTTCAAATTCAAACGTCGTTTTTGCATGACAAGATGATTTCAAATCAAAATGTTGCCAACTACAAAATTTCATAACTTCTCAAGATCTACAAAGTTTATTTTGGTCATTTGTTCATCCGACATAGTGGTAGTAATATTGTTCACAAATCTTATATATCCCTCTTCTACTTTCATGAAACTAATATGAGAGAGATGTGGATTTTATGAACAACGTTATTGTCGTTTTATCAAATGAAGAAATGAACAAAATAAACTTTGTAGATCTTGAGAAGTTATACAACTTTGTAGTTCAAAAGTTTTTCATTTGAATTCATTTAGGGCCTCAAAAATTGCTTTGAAAAAATGATTTATCGAGGGCAAAAAAAAATGCACACGGCAAAATGCCTCTTTGCCGAGTGCCAATACAAAGGCACTCGGCAAAGACGTATTTTGCCGAGTGCCAAAAAATAGCACTCGGCAAAATACATCTTTGCCGAGTACCGAAAAAGGCACTCGACAAAGACGCATTTTGCCGTGTGCTAGGAAAATAGCACTCGGCAAAATACATCTTTGCCGAGTGCCGAAAAAAACACTCGGCAAAGCCATTTTTGCCGAGTGTTTTTTTTTTTTGCCGAGTGTATTCTATTAGGCACTCGGCAAAGGTCGTTTTTGCCGAGTGCCCGATAAAATACACTCGGCAAAGCCTCCGGCACTCGGTAAAGTGTCGGTTTCTGGTAGTGTTTACTCTATCTAGAAATACAATGCACGTGCCAAACAATTTGATGCCACAAATTTAAAAGCACAAAAGCAACAACTGAACCTGAGAAACTCATAAGAGGCGAAAACATGGTCGATAGATCACTTACTTTACTGATTTAATTTTACATGCCAAGACGGACAATCCTGCTGCATCCCTACATACTTGTAGCTACCTGGAGAATTTCACTCATAGGCTTAACCATTTCCCAGATCCATTATGTTAGACAGAAAATAGGAGTAACTACTAGCTAGGCTGAGAACCAAGAGAATTAAGCTAATTAATTAAGATGTTGAGGTAGTAGCATGCATGCATCATCGTTCATCGATCAGCATTCAGCATGCAACCCATGTGGAGAGGCCATAGAGAACACGGCCCTTCCACCTGTGCAGCAGCCACCCCTGATCCTCGTCCACGACGAAGTCACCTGTGGTAGTTGTCCTTCACCTTGTCCAGCACCACCTTGACGACGTCAGCCTGCAGCGGCAGCTGCCTGAGCCCCGCCCGCTGGTTCTTCGCCTGCCACTGCCTGTACATCTCGGGGCGCTCCACCCGGTCGGCGCCCTCGCACGCGACGACGTTCATGGCGGCGCGGCCGAAGATGTCCCTCTCCACCCAGTGGCGGATGCACGATGCAGGATAAGGGGGGCTAAAACAATGAAGATGTTGGTTTGCATGAAAATTTAATGGTAAAATCAAGCTTTTACTACAGTGATTAGGCTTAAAATCAAGACATTAGAGGGAGGCTGGAGCCCCCTAGCCCCCCCTTTGGATCCGCCACTGTCTCCACCAGCAGCCTCTCCGGGCTGTCCCGAGGCACGGTGGCGTCCAGCAGGTCGAACTGCGCCGAGTAGTGGAACAGCGCCTCCCTGAACCGCGTCGTGAACTAGGTCGTGCCGTAGCCGCCACTGACGGCGCCGTGGATGAATTATGAACACGTCGGGCCGCATCCTGCGGATGTTGTCGAGCACCTGGTCCCTGGGGCTGGGACGGCGGCGGCGGCGCTGATCTCGATCTCGTCCGTCAGCAGCCTGAAATGGCAGAGGCTGATCACGACGAGCACCTCGGCAGCTGGATCGATGTCCAGGTCCTCGGAAGACACGTCCTCTCGCTTCGCCGCGATCCCTCGGAACTCGAACGGCACGCCGAGCTGGCGTGCGCAGTCGCTGAGGCGGCGCCCGGTGTTCTCGATATGGTGCGCCGGGCTGAAGCCAGGCTGCGGCAGGTTAATGCCGGTGATCCTGACTAGCTCCGGCGGTCTGCCCTCCATTGCGGCGAGGCCGCGCAGCAGGCCTGGCCACTGGAACCCGTAGCCGAGGCCGTAGTCGATGATGTGCAGGCGGCGCCTGGCGCCGCCGGTGACCGCGACGGCAACTGCGTCGTGGATGGTCCTGTTGGAGAAGGCGAACGCCACCTTCTTGCAGCAGCAAGCAGCCATGTAGAGGCGGTATGCCATGAGGAAGTCGGCGACGGAGGTGCGGCCGAGCATGAGCGAGCGGTAGAGGCGGCTGCCCGTGCCGGCCAGGCGCGCCTCCAGGCCCTCGGCGAAGCAGTGCGCCAGCCTCTGCGTGGCGTCGCCTGTGGGCGACGAGTGCTGCCGGATGTGCGCCAGGAGGTCGTCTGCGGCCGCGCGTCCGTGGCCACGGCCTGCGCGCACAGGAGTAGCAGCGCGTGCAGGTCTACCGGGCCGTCGCTGCTGCCATTGCGAGTAGTGCCAGTAGATGTAGCGCTGCTGCGCCTCCGCCGCCGCCGCCGCGTGGGATTGTCGTCGTCCGAGGAGGCGGACACGCCCTGCTGCTGCACGCCCTTCATGCAGATGTCGTCGCGCTCGTGGATCATCAGTTCGTCGAACATCCGGCGGGCGTCGGCTTCGTCTGTCGTGTCGGCCGGCAGCATGAGCTTGGTGGCCCTGCGCGACTCCGGCTCCGGGTCGAAGTCGTCGTCGTCGTCCCGGGTTGCAGCATGCCTGTTCTTGCGGCCCCTGGCGTCGTGGAGGAGCAGAGTAGTGTTGTTGGTTGGCAATGGCAATGGCAATGGCAATGGCAAGAACTTGGTGGCCTCCTGCATGCCCTTGAGGAAGGCGGAGGTGGCCATGTCTGCTGCATCACTCCCGTTGGCAGTGGCTGGGGAGCGGCGGAGCGTGGGCGAGTGGTCAGAGTCAGAGGTGCCCTGCCCCTGACCATCAGTGGTGTCGACGGAGGACAAGGACGATGGGGAGGTGGTGGCGCTGGTGCAGGATGCAGCAGCAGCGTCGGCTAGGATGTCGGCGAAGGGCTGCTGGGCGTGGAGCAGCGCGGGGTGGTCGGGGTACTGGTAGAAGAAGCTGTCGGCGTGGGCGTCCTCCTCCTCCATGAGCAAGTGCGAGATGTAGGGGAGCACCATGTCGTCGTCGTCCAAGTAGCTGGGCGGAGGCGTGGGCGGGGGAGGTCGAGGAAGACGGAGGGGGAGGGCGGGTCGGGATGGAGGAGAAAGTCCAGGTCCAGCTCCTCCGGTGGCCATGGTTGATGAGGAAGAGGTATACGGCGGAGGGAGTACAACACCACGTACGGTGCAGCTGTATGTGAGTGAGGCTGAGCATGGTCAGCTCCGAATGCAAGTCAAGTCCCCACTTTCAATGACTTGATACATTTCATTTCATCATCGGCGGTGGCCGGTGGGGGTGGGGGCTGTGGCTGTGTGAGGTGGGCTCGCCGGAGTTTCCAGCTGGCAAGTCCTGGTTCGGAGACTCGGAGGCGGCGCATGGGCCTGCTGGACCCCCTGCCTGCACACGTCACAGGTGATGATCCTATCCTCCGTGCAGGCCAGCATTTCAAGTTTTCAGCCAACAAAAGCAAAGTTTAACTGGCCAGATTTTCCTGGCAGCTGCCCTGCCTTGTCGCCTCGGAAGGGCTTATTCCCTCGACACGTAAACCAATATTACCGGTCTATTGGACGTTACAAGGGGTTGAAAGCTCGGCTCCGTATCCCAGGAGGCCGCACATCTGTATCTACATCTAGATCAAGAGAAAATCCTGACTCTAAAATCGACCCTACTACATCTCTAGAGGCATAGGTGACACCTACCGGCTCTAGTCAATACGTAATTAGCTAATTCCTCATCAATTTATGTTAGTGACTATGTTTAGACTAAGATAATGTCTAATTTTAATTCGAAAAGATGTCCAATTAGTGTCATTATTAGAAAATTAATATTACCTGATTCAAATCTTTGGAGTTTTGTTTCTTCTCGTGTTCCTCTCCCATCTCATTGTGGTGTGTTGCCTGTGCCAAGAGGCCCAACTTCTTCCTTGACACGTACTCTCTCGCTTTGACTTTTTCGGTACATGTATTTTACTATGCATCTATATATATAATAATATATGTCTAAATACATAGAAAAATGGATTAACAAAAAAGTCAAAGCGACTTATAATTTGAAACAGAGAGAGTATCATCACATAATCGCAGGAAATACTTCCTTATTTTCATTAAGAGGAGAGAAACATTTCTTAAGTTACTTTGGGACCATTGCAAACTTTAGTTGCCAGTACACAGTGCACATAACTTTGAGAAATCATCATCATCATATCATGAGCAAGTCTGAGGTTGTTGAAAATTTCCAGGAGATCTTCCATCTTCAAGCTGTGAAAAATAATTTAATTGCACCCACATACCTGAATGCAAGAACTAAATGAAAATAGAAACATTTAGGTCCCCTTTAATTTAGAGCATGGGAAATAAAAATAAACCGATTCCTGCAAAATCGCTAAGTTCCAAACCTTTCTGCCTTTCTAGCGTCGGTGTTCGATACATGGACTAATTTTTAGTCCCTGTCACATCGGATGTTTGGACGCTAATTTGGAGTATTAAACATAGACTAATTACAAAATCAAATGCACATATGGAGAATAATTTGTGAGACGAATCTATTAAGCCTAACTACTTCACGATTTTATAATGTGGTGCTACAATAAACATGTGCTAATGATGGATTAATTAGCTTAACAGATTCGTCTCGTAAATTAGTCTCTATCTGTGTAATTAGTTTTATAATTAGCTAGTTCAGGTTTAGTCCTTCCAATTAGCATCCCACGTCCGATGTGACCTGGACTACCTAGATGCAAACACGTCGGCCCAATGAGAAACTTTGATACAAAAGGTCGCATATATGAATGAGTACTGTGCTACATTTAAAATACAAATCGGAAGAACGAATGTTGCCTTTTTTCACCCCGGACTGGCTGGAGAAGTTTATTTCATCTTAATCACGCATAAGTTTACTCTATCTACAAATACTATAATGCACGTGCCGAACAATTGATGCCACAAATTTTAAAAACACGGAAGCAACAACTGAGCCTGAGAAACCCATAAACTTTACTGATCAGCATTCAGCATGCAACCCATGAGGACAGGCCATAGAGAACACGGCCCTTCCACCTGTGCAGCAGCCACCCCTGATCCTCGTCGACGACGAAGTCCCTGTGGTAGTTGTCCTTCACCTTGTCCATCACCACCTTCACGACGGCAGGCTCCAGCGGGAGCTGCCTGAGCCCGGCCCGCTTGTTCCGCGCCTGCCACTGCCGGTACGTCTCGGGGCGCTCCACCCGGTCGGCGCCCTCGCACGCGACGACGTTCATGGCGGCGCGGCCGAAGATGTCCCTCTCCAGCAGCAGCCTCTCCGGGCTGTCCCGCGGGACGGTGGCGTCCAGCAGGTCGAACTGCGCCGAGTAGTAGAACAGCGCCTCCCTGAACCGCGTCGGGAAGTAGGTGGTGGCGTAGCCGCCACTGACGACGCCGTGGATGAACACGTCGGGCCGCAACCGACGGATGTTGCCGAGCACCTGGTCCCTGGGGCTGGGGCTGGGGCTGGGTCTGGGACGGCAAGGCGTGGCGGCGGCGACGCTGATCTCGATCTCGTCCGTCAGCAGCCTGAAATGGCAGAGGCTGATCACAACGAGCACCTCGGCAGCTGGGTCGATGTCCAGGTCCTCGGGAGAAACGTCCTCTCTCTTCGCCGCGATCCCTCGGAACTCGAACGGGACGCCGAGCTGGCGCGCGCAATCGCTGAGGCGGCTGCCGGTGTCCTCGATCTGGTGCGCCGGGCGGAAGCCAGGCTGCGGCAGGTCAATGCCGGTGATCCTGACCAGCTCCGGAGGTCCGCCGTCCCTCGCGGCGAGGCCGCGCAGAAGTCCGGGCCACTGAAACCCGTAGCCGAGGCCGTAGTCGACGATGTGCAACCGGCGCCTGGCGCCGCCGGCAATGGCGTCGTGGATGGTCTTGTTGGAGAAGGTGAACGCCACCTTCTTGCAGCAGCAGGCGGCCATGTAGAGGCGGTAGGCCCTGAGGAAGTCGGCGACGGAGGTGCGGCGGAGCATGAGCGAGCGGTACAGGCGGCTGCCCGTGCCGACCAGGCGCGCCTCCAGGCCCTCGGCGAAGCAGTGCGCCAGCCTCTGCGCGGCGTCGCCAGTCGGTGACGAGTGGCGCCGGATGTGCGCCAGGAGGTCCTGCGCGGCCGCACGGTCGTCCGTGGACACGGCCTGCGCGCACCGGAGCAGCAGCGCGTGCAGGTCCACCGGGCCGTCGCCGGCAGCCGAGCCCCGGCGCCTCCGCCGCCGCGTGGGCATCTGGGTGCTGTCAGTGTCGTCCGTGGAGGTGGCCAGCAGGCCCTGGCCCTGCTGCTGCTGCACGCCCTTCATGTTGATGCAGATGTCGTCGCGCTCGTGGATCATCAGTTCGTCGAACATCCGGCGGGCGTCGGCTTCGTCTGCCGTCTCGGCCGGCAGCATGAGCTTGGTGGCCCTGCGCAACTCTGGGTCGCCGTCGTCGTCCGTGGCAGCAGCGTGCCTGTTCTTGCGGCCCCTGGCGTCGTGGAGGAGCAGAGTGGTGGTGTTGGATGGCAAGAGTTTGGTGGCTTCCTCCATGCCCTTGAGGAAAGCGGAGGTGGCCATGTCTGCATTTGCATCCCTCCCGTTGGTGTTGGGCGAGTGGTCAGAGTCAGAGGTGCCCTGCCCCTGATCCTGAGGAGCGTCGACGGAGGTGAAGGACGATGGCGAGGTTGCGGTGGCGGTGGCGGTGGAGCTGGTGCTGCAGGCAGCAGCAGCGTCGGCTAGGATGTCGGCGAATGGCTGCTGGGCGTGGAGCAGCGCGGGGTGGTCGGGGTACTGGTAGAAGAAGCTGTCGGCGTGGGCGTCCTCCTCCTCCATGAGCAAGTGCGTGATGTAGGGGAGCACCATGTCGTCGTCGTCCAAGTAGCTGGGCGGGAGGTCGAGGAAGACGAAGGGGGAGGGCGGGTCGGGATGGAGGAGAAAGTCCAGGTCCAGCTCCTCCGGTGGCAGTGGCCCGGCGGCCATGGTTGATGAGGAAGAGGTATACGGCGGTGGGAGTACCACACCACGTATGTGAGTGAGGCTGAGAATGGTCAGCTCCGAATGCAAGTAAGTCCCCACTTTCAATGACTTTATACATTTCATTTCATCATCGGCTGTGTGAGGTGGGCTCGCCGGAGTTTCCAGGCTCATGGTCAGCATTTCAAGTATTCAGCCAACAAAAGCAAAGTTCGCTTCGGAAGGGCGGACGGAGACCGGAGTGGAGTGTTGGACCCTCCACGTCCGTCGATCGAGGTGAGTGTGGCGTGGGCCGTGCGCCAGCTTATACTCTTTCAAAATTCAGAGGCAGCCAACCCGAACCTGCAGTCATACCAGGGTTGGTAGGGGCTCTCTCTCTCTCTAGCACGACAGATTATTATTATACACTTTATTAAACCACCACAAATAAGTAGGAGTACAGTAATGCCTAGTGCACACATACTCTATCTCTACGTTCTAAACTGTAAGTTATTTTGAGTTTTCTATAAATATTGTTTGTACTGTATATCTAGATATAATATATATAGGTCCGTAGCAAAAGTAACACACTTTAACTACTTATAATTTAAAAGGGACCTGCTATATAATTATAATAAGTACTCTGCTAATAGTTAGGCAACGTGGCACTGACCGAATTGAAGAGCAACAGGTGCACCAACTCCCCTCCCCCCTCCTGCAAACCCACCCAAGATTTGGGAGATCTTGTTCTCATGCGAATAATGAATATTTTTATAATACTATAGTTATGTTGGCATTGTCAACACAGCCACTAGGCACGGCCAGTTTTGTTTTTTTTATAAGTTTTTCTAAAGAATCACTCTGCAACAACTCCTTACACGAACTCCTAATCTTCCTTCACTTAGGAAAATTGATCCAATTGTGCAAAAATATTGGCGCGCATATATCAATCGGTCAATATAAAGGTGGAAGGACATGGGTAAGAATACGGAGTAAGGATGGGGTTTTCAATGCAAATGTACAAGAGAGAAAGAAGATATAAAAGTGGTTGAGGTGATTAGAAAATAGTTCAAAAGCTTCCTGATGCAAAATTGCCTTCTATTTTTAGGTGTCAAATTTTATAAATGGTCAGAGGAACCCAACAAATATGCTCTCAACTTTTTTAGCCACTTGAAAAACTCATTAATTTACCCA